ACAGATAGGATGTGGGGTTCCCTGACGCAAAGGGGAGGGACACAGGCTGTGGAGTCAAATAGCCTTTGCTGGTTGTGTCAGAATGACCTTGGGCAAGTCACCTCCCCTCCCCAGCCCCAGGGTCACGCCCACCCCAGGAGGCTGGAGGGATGGATGACATGAGTGAAGCAGAGCGGGACTCATGGGAAGTCCTGATCCTGGGAGAAGGAGAGGGAGAGACAGGTGGCTGGGTCTCCCCAGTGGAGAGGCCCCGAGCCACCTGGCTCTTGTAGCTGATGCCAAGAGCCCTTACTCACACTCCCAACCCCCAGCCCAAGCTGAGGACACCTGGCTCTGGGTGGGGAGGCTGAGTGCCCAGCCCTCGCCTGCCTCCTGGAGCTCAGGGCACCCTGGGTCCTGCGGGATGGAGACAGGAAAGTAGACTCAGCCATGCAGCTCATCAAAAGTCACCGAGAAGGAGAGGAGGAGGGGACAGCGGAGGGACCCTGGGGGAGAACCAGGCCTGGACACATTCCAGGTGCAGCAGGTACAGCTCTTCCTGTCCCCAGGGAAGGGTGCCGTCACTCAGCAGAACCCAATGCTGGCTTACTTTCATCTGCTGCCAACCCTGGGCATCATCTTGCCCAGTGTCCCAACCCATCCGGGGGCCCCACTCACGGTCCCAACTGGACTTCCCACCTCTGGGCACCCCTGGCCTCAGCTTTATCACTCCCAGGCCTTATCCATCAGGGCAGTGTGGCCAGGGGTGGAGGGGCCAGCAAGGATTCGGAGTGTCCTTCAGCAAACCCCCAGGTCAGCCCTCTGCCTGTAAACAGGTCGTGATGCTCCTTCATCCCCCATGAGCAGTCACTGAGGGCACCAATGTCAAGTATTTGGGCAGCACAAACCACACAGGCCTGGCACCTGCCCTCATTACGCCAGAGAGTCAACAGGACCTCAATCCGGAGCCCGGGCAAGATGAGGAAGAGAGAATAACTGAGGCAGAGGGACGGGCCTGGGGAGCAGAGATGATCTGCCCAGCCATCAGGAGACCTGAGCAAGTGCTGTGTGACTGTGGGCAGGTCGTCCGCCTCTCTGAGCTTCAGGCTCCCTGGGGGCACCACAGGGATGAATGACTCCTGCCCTGGCCGCCAGATGAGATGACAGATGGCTTGTGGAAGCATCCAGAGCTGTAACGAAACAGGGCCCTGCAAGGAAGGTGACCTCAGGGAGGCAGCCATCCTAGCCCTGGACCCCTCCCTGTCCCGCTCCCAGCAAGAGGAGCTGAGCCCAAAGTCACGCTGAGGGCAGGAGGCTGGGGCCCCATCAGCCCTGTCCGCCCCCAGGCAGAGACGCTGTCTCCATGCAGGGCTGTGCAGTGTCAGGTTATATTTAGCCTGGTGGCGGCGACAGGAAGATGCAGAAGGAGCGACTCCTGGACGGGGGCCATCGTGTCACTAACACGGCTCTCATGGGCAGCCTGGGGCCTAGGGAAGCGAGGGACATTGCAGGACCAGGGGACAGAGTAGGGGAGCCTGAGAGGCCAGCCAGTGAATGAGTGCGTGTGAGACGGTGGGGTGGGGAGAGAGAGGCCATCTTCTCGGCTGCTTCAGGGGCTGCGAGGCAGACACCCTGGGGAAGACTCACTTCGGGGCAGGAGTGGGGAGCCAGGGTCCAGACCCCGACTCACACAAAAGAGGCATCATCTCCAGACAGACCTCCACCACCCTCCCTGTCTAACACCTTCCCAGGGAGTTAGAGGCCATACAGAGGGTCTCGGGGGGCCAGTCATCTAGACCCCCCCAAACGCACTGCCTGTGGCCTGCCTGAATCATCTCCCCCTCCCCAACCACAGTGATAGTCTCAAGAGAAGAGCTTCTTCTAGAAGAGCTCTGGGCCCAGCCCCGCCCTGCGCCAGTCCGCTGGGTGCCACTCAACCTCTCAGGGACACGGCCTCCTGGTCTCTCACGTGGAGTCACCGGCCCTGTTCCCCAGGAGCCCGAGGACGTAGAGCAAGGCTGTGCTCAGGCGGAGAAAGCTGCTCCGTGGACCCATTCCCTTCCTCCCCAAGGCCTGCACGCTTCACCTCCCTCCTCCGACTTCCTGGAGTCCGTCCCCGCTGAGAATCCTTCAGGATCTGCCCTTCTGGATCCCAGCATTCCCTGCGCACAGACACCTGAGACACGAGTGGGCTGGCCTACAGGGCACCCCAGCCTCACCGGGCCTCCCACTCCCCACAGCCCCGACCCCTCTCCCCTTCAACTCAGCCATCCTCTAGGCTCTGCAGGATCCCTCCACAAAGATTTCCCTGACTGCTCCATCCAGCCCACATGGATGTTTCTCATTGAGAACTCTTCTAAAACGATATCCCTAATTTGGGAGATAATTGCATGCTGGCTTCTGGTGTGAGGTTCCTCCCTCCCCCAGAGTCAGAGCCCTGAGGCTAGGGCTGGGCTGTTCGCAGGAAGTACTGGGGAAGCAGGTGTTTGAGGACTGCTGGTGGACTTGAGGCCTCCACCTGCGCCAATGACAGGTGTGTGTGAACAGGGCCATCTCCCACCCTCGAAGCTCTTCCAGATCCAAGGGTACCAACTGTCCCTTCACAACCTAATTTGTCCATTTCAAACCATCGGAGTCTAGATAGCAGTCAGGACCACCGTGGGACTCAGGCGGTATCTTTGCTGACGTGTTATGAAATCTGGTCAGCAGTTAGCATGGCACGTGGAGGCTGCCCGCCCAGGAACCTGGGAAGCAGTGGAGCAGGAGCCTCACAGGGGTGGGATTTCTGAACCTCAGACCCCTACCAGCCTGCTTCACCGTGACCCCACACAGACCTGTCCACCAGGAGACAACCTGGGGGTCCTGCCCTCCCCCAGGGCTCAGCAAGCTTCCAGAACTGTGCCTCCTCTTAGCCCCCAGCGTGCCCCAGAAAGCCCGGGGTGCCTGGAGAACACCTCTCCCTAACTCCAGCTCTCCATCAGCCACAGCGTCTCAATCACTCAACCGAGACTTGTAATCCCTCCAGAACTCGACCACCTCACAGGACTCTGAGACGTGCCACCACAGACAGCACACATGAAAGCTTCCTGAAAAGTCCAGTGGAACATTCTAGGATCAGAACATATGACAATGACCCAAACGTAAACAGAAAACCGGCATATGTGCAGATGATAGGGTCATCTCCCTAAAATAACAACCAAATCAACAGATAAACTATTAGAACAAATGATGGCGTTCAATACAGCTGCCTGGTACAAGGTCAGCCCACAAAAAATGGGCAGCATTTCTCTCCACCAGCATGGAGCTATTCAAATAGGTGTTCCAAAATAAGACCCTTTTCATAACAGCAACAGAAGGATAAAATGTCTAGAAATTGACCAGAAATGCACAGGCCTTTAGGGGGGGCGGGGGGTGCGGGACAAAGCTTTAAACTAATAAAGGATACAGAAATGATCTGATAAATGGAGGGATAATCCAGGCCCTTGAATAGGAAAATTATTATAAAGATGTCAGTTCTCCCCAAATTCATCTATAAAACAATCTAATTCCAGTCAAGATTGTAGGGGGGTTTTTCTTTGCAGGGACTCGATAAAAGTTTTTTTGAAAGTTTATAAAGAAAAAGAGGCCTTGAGTGCTTTGGCTCAGTGGATAGAGTGTCAGCCTGCGGACTCAAGGGTCCCAGGTTCGATTCTGGTCAAGGGTATGTACCTTGGTTGCGGGCACATCCCCAGTAGGGGGTGTGCAGGAGGCAGCTGATCCATGTTTCTCTCTCATGGATGTTTCTAACTCTCTATCCCTCTCCCTTCCTCTCTGTAAAAAATCAATAAAATATTTTTTTTTTAAAAAAAGAAAAAGAGGAGCCCAGAAATCCCTGTGTCAACCATTAGAATGAAGAATAGAGAGAAAGCCCTAGCCAGTTTGGGTCAGTGGATAGAGCACTGACCTGCGAACTGAAGGGTCCCGGGTTTGATTCCGGTCAAGGGCACGTGCCTGAGTTACGGGCTTGATCCAGCGTGCAGGAGGCAGCCAATCAATGATTCTCCCTCATCATTGATGTTTCCATCTCTCTCTCTCCCTCTCCCTTCCTCTCTGAAATCAATAAAAACATATTTTTTTAAAAAAGAATAGTTCGATTCCAGTCAAGGGCATGTACCTTGGTTGCGGGCACATCTCCAGTAGGGAGTGTGCAGGAGGCAGCTGATCAATGTTTCTCTCTCATCGATGTTTCTAACCCTCTATCTCTCTCCCTTCCTCTCTATAAAAAATCAATAAAATATATTTTAAAAAAAAAGAATAGAGAGAAAAGATGTGCCTTTCCAGATGCTAAGATATACTAAATGTCATTGTTGTTGTTTTTTTCATGTGGTTTTGACGCAAGAACAGACTAATAAATATTTGGAACAGAATACAGAGCTCAAAAACAGACCCAAGGATATATGGGTAATTAACTGGTGGTACAGGGGGGCCCACACACCAGTGGAAAAGAACAGGCTGTTTACTAGTCATGTTGGGAAAATTGGCTCACTACATGGAAAAAAACATAACTTGATCCCTACTCAACACCGCAGACAGAGGTAGGCTCCGGATGGATCAGAGACCCAACCGAGGAAGGTGAAACAATTAAGTAAATAGAAGAAGGGGGTGTAGACTTTTGCAACCTCCGGATGGTGAAGAATTTCTTCAACAAAACTTCAAAAGCTCAAACAAAGCTAAAACTCAGGCAGTGTGTTTGTATGAAAATTCAGTTTCTCTGTTGGATAACTTGAACAGACAACTGAATGGGAGAAAACATTTGCAGTATCTTGATTCAGCAGGAAATAATGCCCAGAATATGTATGTTGAATATTTAACTAGGCATTTGCATTTCTAGAATACACAAGCAACTCCTGCAAACCAAGAACAAAAGACAGCGGCTTCGGTGGAAGAGTGAGCAAAGGATATGAGCAGGTGATTGACAGGAAAGTAAGCCAAGAGGCTGTCCAGCCTATGAGGTGGATGCACAAACTCATGTGAAGCCAAAGAAATGCAAATTCAAGCAGCAGGATATCACTTTCACCTATTAGACTGGCAAAACTTAGGAAGGTAGACAATGCCAGGTGTGGCGGAGATAGGGCGGAACAGCAGCCTCGTGCTCTGTGTAGGTGGGTGATGATGGCGGCAGCCAAGCTGGTACACAGTCAGACAATACTTAGTTGAATTAGGTGCCCACAGATCCCATGATCCAGCTATTCCACCTCAGGGGATGTATCTCAAAGACACCCTCACATGAGTCCAAAAGGGGCCACGGGTGAGGATGGTCACTGCAGCATTATTTAGGGAGACGCTGTGAAGGGCCCTCCCTGGGAGGAAATTAGGTGGGTTCGCCCCACAGAATATGAAGCTACAGACTAGATGTCAAGTAACAGCCTGGATGGACTTACAGGCGTACTCCTGCCTAAGAAGAGTGAGTGCCAGAATACAACAGCTAGCACATCCCATTTACATAAATTAAACCTATACGCATCCAGACAAAACACACATTTTGCAAGAACATATGCAAGCAGCATATTCACAGGAAGTACATTTCAATGGTTGCCTAAGGGGAGGGTAATGGGACTGGGGAATGAGAGCAAAAGGGGAAAAAGCAAGGGAAAGAGAAGGCAAAAACAATAACACAAATATCGTGTTTGCATGATTTGAGGGAGAGGCAGGAGCTGGGGCAGGCAGGGTCCCTTGCAGGACAGGGCAATGGGGCACAGGGGTGCTGAGACCCTGGCTCAGCCAACTTCAGTACCTGGGAGGGCAGGCGCTTGACGCCACTTAGCCAATGAGGAACTGCGGCTCTGGAACCGAGCTGACACCCACACTTCTTGGGGCCCTGAGCCCATCGTGCCCCCAAAGGACTCTCTGGGGCAAGACAGCTGGTGTGGCAGAATTCCAGCTGCATGTGGGAGGGCTCTAGAGCTGAAAGAGGAAAACTGGGTTCCAGTGCCCACTCAGGTGCCCACCAGCTGGGTCAACAGGCACAAGTCCCCTAGCCTTTCTGAGCAAGCGTTTCCCTCCCGTGAAACGATGGAGAGGAAGTCTGCCTCTCGGAGGGCTGTGAGGACCACCTGCCAAAAAGCATGCCTCCCTACCTGAAACCTGGAAGTGCAGTCACAATGGCTGTGCCTGTGAGTGCGGCCCAGGCAGCTGCCACCGCCACCTCCCCCAGCTTTGCTCCCCCACTCAAGCCTCCTCGGTCCATCTCGGGGGGTGGGGGCGGCCCAGATACCTTCTCTGTACCCCACCATGTTCCCACACACAGCAGGGCTGGAGGACTCCTAAGCCTCTCAGGCAACCTCTCCCTGGCCCACCTTCCTTTGGCCCTGAAGCCTCCCCATCCTCTAATCCTCATCCCTCACAGAGGGAGAGACTGAGGCCCAGAATGGAAAGTGATTTACCCAAAGTCACACAGCAGCTCTATAACTGGGCCAGAAACTGCTCCCAAGTCACTGACACCAGTGTATGGCTTCTGCAACAACATCCTGCCCACCTTATTCATTCTTTCATTCGTTCATTCATTCATTAAGTGAGCAAGCAAGCAAGCATATACTGAGCTCCCACTATGCACTAGACACACAGATTCAACAGAGAACTGAACAGACGGCTGTCTGCCCTCACGGAGCTTGCAATATGGTGGGAGAATTCTGACATGGCAACCTCATCCACAACTGTGAACAAGGAAGACGGTGGGCCAAGGAGAAGACACTGCCCAGCCCTCAGGCGCTTCATGTCACCTAAACAACGAGAGGTTTGCTCCAGGCCAACAGTCCACAGCATGGAGACCTGTAGGTACCCAGGGCAGGAGGGGCCTCTCCTGTACTAACCACCTGCCCCAGGTGCCCCTCCACTCTCCCTGTTCTGGCCTTGCCCCCAGGGCCCTCCTCCGTGGCAGGGAGCAAAGTTTCTGTTAAGCTCCCACACACTAAGGGGCTAGATAACTCCATGTTCCTCCCTGCACGTGGGGGAGGGGTGATGAGAGAGAATGTATTTTTAAAGAAAAAGACTCATTCTCCCTCAAGCAAAAGGTTCTCTAATGGAGGTATTTGAGGCACCGTGTGTGTGGGGGCGGGGGGGGCGTTGTTTAAGTGTGAAAGGGGTTTCTTAGAACCTGGAAGCCACCTCTGGGCTAAAACATGCTGAGTCTCACCAGTCTCACCCCCACCCCACACTGGCCCCCCCTCCCTGGAGTCCAAGGCCATCACCAAACTCTGCTCCCATCCCGCCCGCTCTGTGCAAATATTTACATAGCTCCTCTCTGGGGTCTACAGCAGACACAACACGGAGGAGCCGCCCTCCTGACACTCTCCAGAGCCAAGTGTGCAGGAGTGGCCCGCACCCCTCAGTCCTGGCAGGCCTGCTTCACTTCTGCCCCAGGGACGGGAAGACCCATCCAGAACTGTGAACAGGGCACCCTGCTCCCACTCAGGAATGTCTCCTCCTGGAGCCTTGAGGAAAGGTGCTGGGTGGGGAGAGCCCTGGGCACCGCTCCTGGCCTCCTGGCCTCCTGGCCTCCTGGCCACAAGCAGGTGCTCTCACCTGCCCTGTCTTGGAAGGCCCAAGGTGAAGGGAGCCCCTGATGGCTTCCGCTCCTCCAGAGAAGTGCTCCCTATGTCTAACCTTGTCCTCGGTGTTCAATCTGGGCTGCTCCCATCTCAAGGATGGCACCAACCTGGGTCCCGCCCTGCCTTCCCAGCTCAATAAACCCTGGGGCTGCCTCACCAGCATCCCAACACGGGGCTTCTGCACACAGCACACTGCAGTTAGGGGTCTGGGGCCTGAGGGCCATGGGCCTGGAGAGGGTGGAGGAGGGTGGGGGTCTGAGCTTGGAGAGAGGTCAGCTGTGCTGGAGGAGGGGCATGGGAGGAGATGGGGAAATGGCCTGGGTGTGTGGAGGGTCAAGGGAGGCCCATAGGAGTGTCACTGGTGCCAGCAGCGCCTGCATAAGCTGGGGTCTGAATCTGGGAACCATAAACCAGCTGGTATGGGGCCACCTCTGGGGCTCAGGTTCCCCACAGGCACTGGGGGATCCAGGGCACAGGCTGGCCCACTGGTCCCCACTCCTCCCCAGCCCACAGCTCAGCTGTTGCAGTGGGTGCCCTCTGACCCTGTTACCATGGCAACCAGCCTGCAGCTGGAGCAGAGAAGCAGACAGATTCTTCTCTAGAGACACCCCTATCTCCACCCACGCATGGGCTCCTGGGGACACAGGGACACGGAGACCAGGCCAGTGCAGGCAGAGGTATGGGGGAGCCAGACAGAGCCCACAGGGAGAAAGGCTCCGGGGGGCTGGTGGGAAAAAGAAGAGAGAGAGATGCAGGGAGGAGGAGATAAGACCAAGGGGACAGGGTGTCTGCAGGGAGGGAGCCCTGGGGAGAAGGAAAGCAGCAGAGACCATGGGCACAGGCAGACAGGCTGAGCGCTGCAGGAGGTGGGGCGAAGAGAGACAGCGGGAACAAAGAGCAGAGGGGCCAGGGACCGCAGGGACAGAGAGCAGGGGGGACCTCCACCAGGCCCGGCAGAGGAGGGCAGCAAGCGAGGAGGAGCCTTGCTCAAAGGGATCCCGGGCCACCCCTCCAGCGATGTGGGGATGCAGATGTGCTCCAGCAGCACCTGCTGCCCAGGCAAGGCCCCAGGGCCCTGCAGCCATGTTACTGCCTGCCAGCCCCACACTAGCTGGCTCTGCTCCCAGTGCCACCTTAATCCTGGGCCTGACGTGAAGGGGCATGGACACGGGGCCAGCAGGTCCCTGGAACCTCGTGTCTCTCCCTCCAGCCCACACACCCCGAGTCCAGCCTCCCTGCCTCCCAACAATCCCAGCAACTAAGTAACGGAGCTGTCTGGCTCCAGGCCCTGATACTGCACAGAGCTAGGCCGGAGGCACCGACACAGCACAGCTGTCCGCACTGGCGCCTGCCAGCAAAAGGCCCCGCCTCCTGCCCAGCCACCCACCTCCCGGGGGCTGAAGCCCAGGGACCTACTCCCCCGTGACTGGCCCAGGCAGAGACCCTGAGAAAGGCCTGGACAGAAACAAGAGGTGGCCCTGGCATTCTACACCTCTGCCTCCCTCCTCTGCCCGGCGCAAAGTGTGAGCTAGTGCACGCACGCACGCACACAGCACAGGTCAGGCCACACAGAACCTCCCTAGGGACCCGCGTCTCACGGCAGAGGGGGGAGGCGGAGGAAATCTGTCTGCTTCCTGGGCTCCAGTGCCAGGACAAGTGGGACTCACATGACCTGAGGGCCCAGGCCAGTCTGCTGGCCAACAGGAGATACCTGGCCCCATGGGAAGTGTGAGAGCAGCGAAGGGGGCGGGCAGAGATGACTGGCACAGGATTTTCTGGGTCACAGCCTCCTTCGGAGTAGTAACCTGATGGGGCAAAGAGACTGAACCCGGGCAAGGGGCCTGGGTTCTAGTCCCACTCCCTCCACTGATTCACTGGTAACTGGACCTCCGCCACTCAGTTTCTCCATCTGTAACCTGAGTGAGCTGGACTGTGATCCTCAAGGTCACCAAGATTCCAAGCACCCCTGCAGAAAGGGTCCCTTGGCCATCCTCTCCCAAAGGAGCCAACCTGGGGAAAGATGGAAGGCCTGCTCCACACATACTACCGCGCAGACAAAGCACTCAGGGCCCTGGTGCCAAGGGGCGAGCAGATACATTATCCCAGAAGTAGAAAGAGGTTCAAGACAGTAACCAGCTTGGCCCTACATTACATTATTTCTGGTGTCAGACCTGAACATTAGACTTAATGTATTCACATTCTGTTCATTACACCAACGGTTTGCAACTTTCAGATAAAATTGTACATGAAGTCATTCGAATCTGTAGATACCCCTGTAACTAGTTGGTGTCACTGTTAATATATGACAGCAAAGCAGAGCGGGGAGGCTCTGATCAGACAGACACAGTCGCACTCCCCGCTCTGCCACTTACTGGCTGTGTGACTTTGGAAAATTTTCTTAATTTCTCCAAACTTGTTTCCTCATCCATAAATGGAGAAAAAATTATATCTACCTCCCAGGGTTGTTGTGAAGATTCTGTGAGATAATGTAAGTGAAACATTTAGTAGCACAGTGTCCAGCACATAGAAGCCACCCACCAATGTTAGCTAGTACTAGATGGCCAGGCAGATATAAAAGCAAATCGGCTCTGGTTTAGGTTCTGGGAGACATCGGTGAAAAAGCAGACAGAGGCCCTGCCTTCCGAGTTTCCATCCAGTCTTGCAGCCCCTGCCTCCCAGCCAGAACCCCCACGTGCTGTAAGCTAATCCTCTCGCACAGTGTCCCCTCTATGCTGTGCAGTGATGTCCCAGGCTGGGCACCCTGCAAAAGCAGGGCCATCGGGGAGGCACAAGCCTTTACAGGGCAGCCTCCGCCAACCCTGTGCATAGAGGGGAGGTTCCAAGAGGCAGGGCCAGGGGCCTAGCTGCTGGCTCACTTTGCCTACCCCCAGGGGGAGACAGAGCAAGCTGCTCCAGCAGGTCAGCTCCCTATAGGCAGGAACCCCATGTGGTGTTCACTGCTCTATCTGCAAGACCCTGAGTTCAGCAAATGTTCCTCGGCAAGCACTGAGCAGCAAGGTTTGGGCACCAATGGGTGGTCCAGAGGCACCTTTTGGAGCCACCTCCCTAGCCCTCTGCAGACCTCCCAAAGCACTGTGCACTGAACTTCCAGAGCAAAGCCCACCAGCCAGGACAGACACGTGTGGGAGCAGCCCCGCCCAGAGCTCTGTTTATCCGATCTCCGGAAGCCCAGAGCAGCTGAGCTAGGAGGCGGTGGCTGAGCAGAGACACCTGGCGCAGGAAGGGATGGCAGGCGGGGCCTCAACAGATGAGACAAAGGGAACTGGGGTTGGGAAGAGGCACACACCTCATGCCAGGTGCAGCTGAAGTGCAGAAGAGAGAGGGGGCAGGAGAGGGGCAGCAGAGAGCGAGCTAGTCCTCAGCCCTCCCCTCCTTGGCCCTCAGTGACTTCTCCCCAGACCTGTCAGGCACACGGCAGGGGCTGGCTGCTAGGGTCCCTAGAGCCCCGTGACCAGAGGTCAGCGCCCAGCCGCCAGCTTGACCTATTCTGCCCACGCACGCACCTGCCATCCCGGCCCCATCCACCTCTAGCTCATCGTGCCCACATCTGCCCAGGGAGAAAGGAACCAGAGGTCCAGACCTACAGCCAAGCAGCCCCCTGGCTACCCCGAAAAACCAT